TATGTGGAGAAAGATAATCCAGGGTGCTTCTGCATCTTACGTCTATGTCTTGGCAGTAGTGATGCTTCCAAACATGCAAGAAATGCTTGTGGGCACGCTGTGTACTGTGTTACAACATATAGAAGAAACAGTAGAATCCAGGAATGCATTTTCTAGAGAAAACTCTGATTCCAGTTACAGATGAACACCTGCAAAGAGGGGTCTTATGAGCGCTCTGAATATGAGGATGACTACGGAGACTGCAAAGACTGACACTACAGAGATAGATCAGCCGAACGGTCTCGACCATGACCTTGGTCCCGGTCCTGGTCCCACTCTCAATCTCCTTCCATCACATGCAGAAGGAGAGAAAGCCCTAAGCGTAGATCACATAATGAACTGCGGTCTTATCTGTGTGCTCAGGGAGAGAACATGAGGAAGTGGGATGGAGAATCTACTTCCAAACTTGAAACCAGATTGAGAGAACTAAGGCAAAAGGAAGGCGATAAGAAAGTCATCTACGTGGTAGATGCAGATGTCCCGAAAAGAGAACTGCGATCTCCAAGACACAGGAAGAGTGAGGTCCGTTTCTGGGATGACAAGAAAGCCTCTGACAAACCACAGCAAAGATCCAACAGTGAATGCTCAAACCAGAACCAATAGAGGCCTTTGACCAGGAGAAGGAGAGGGACGAGAGAGATAACAGAGTTTACTAGGCTGTGTGGGTTTGATGGCCTGGCACATCAGATCCTCAAAGATGCCAGGCTTTAATAGATACCGGTGCACAGTGCATGTTAATGCCTTCAGGACACGTGGGCACGCTGTGTACTGTGTTACAACATATAGAAGAAACAGTAGAATCCATTCCAGTAGAAGAAACAAAGACTGTTTCCATTTCTGGGGTGACAGGAGGGTCTCAAGACCCATCAGTGGTAGAGGCTGAAATAAGCTTGACAGGAGACCAATGGGAAAAGCATCCCATTGTGATGGGGCCAGAACACCCTTGTATCCTTAGTACTGACTACCTCAGGAGAGGATACTTTAAGGACCCAAAGGGGTACCGATGGGCTTTTGGTGTAGCCGTGGTGACTGAAGAGGAGTCCAAACTATTATCTGCCCTACCTGGACTCTCAGAAGATCCTTCTGTTGTAGGATTACTGCAAGTCGAAGATCAGCGAGTGCCAACAGCCACTAAGGCAGTTCACAGGCAACAGTACCGGACAAATCGAGATGCTGTGATCCCCATCCATAAGATGATCTGGAGACTGGAAAGCCAAGGGGTGGTCAGTAAGACACACTCACCCTTCAACAGCCCTATTTGGCCTGTATGTAAATCTGATGGAGAATGGAGACTGACTGGGCTATCGTGGCTTAAATGAAGTCACACCACCATTGAGTGCTGCTGTTCCAGACATGCTGGAGCTCCAGTACGAACTGGAGTCCAAGACAGCAAAGTGGTGCCACTACTGACATCGCAAATGTGTTCTTCTCCATTCCCTTGGCAGCAGAGTGCAGGCCACAGTTTGCTTTCACCTGGAGGGGTGTGCAATACACCTGGAATCGACTGCCCCACGGGTGGAAGCACAGTCCAACCATTTGCCATGGGCTGATCCAGGCCACCCTGGAGAAGGGCAAGGCCCCAGAGCACCTGCAGTACATTGATGACATCACTGTATGGGGGGACACAGCAGAAAAAGTTTTCAAGAAAAGAGAGAAAATCATCCAGATTCTCCTGAAAGCCATTTTGCCATCAAGAAGAGCAAAGTCAAGGGACCTGCCAGAGAGATCCAGTTCCTGGGAGTGAAATGGCAAGATGGATGATGACAAATACCAACAGACATCATCAATAAGATTGTAGCCATGGCTCTGCTGACCAACAAGACAGAGACACAAGCTTTCCTGGGAGCCACAGGCTTCTGGAGAATGCACATCCCTGAGTACAGCCAGACTGTGAGCTCTCTTTACTTCGTGACCCATAAAAAGAATAGCTTTCAATGGGGTCCTGAACAACAGCAAGCGTTCAAACAGATCAAGCAAGAGATTGCACACACCGTGGCTCTTGGGCCAGTCAGGATGGGACCAGAATGTACTTTATTCTGCAGCTGGGGATAAAGGTCCTTCCTGGAGCCTCTGGCAAAAGGCGCCTGGTGAGACACGAGGTCAACCACTTGGTTTCTGGAGCCAAAGCTACATGGGTTCTGAAGCCAACTACACCCCTGTGGAGAAGGAAATTCTGGCAGCCTATGAAGGCATACAAGCAGCTTCAGAGGTGGTTGGCACTGAAGCACAGCTCTTCCTGGCAGATGAGGAAGAAGAAGAAGAGCAAGTGAGTCGAGCTGAAGAAGCTCCTCCATATAATCAGCTGCCAGATGAAGACACACGCTATGACCTTCTCACTGATGGTTCTTGCTGTATTGTAGGAAGGAACCGGAAGTGGAAAGCAGCCGTTTGGAATCCCACCTGACAAGTGGCAGAAGCTGCCAAAGGTAAAGGCATTTTTTTTATAATTTTCTTCCTTTGCCCTAAGAAAAGAAGGGAGAGGGAAGGGGTTGTTACTGTGAGTTCGGGCATTTGGCAGGGAGCCAAGTCCGAACCATCACATTAACCAATTGACTAATTAACTAAATAAGTAAATAACTAGGTAACTGATTAACTAATTAATTAATTAACTAATTAAAACCATGAAACAACTAAGTAATTAGTCCTGTGCACAGGGCAGGACACAGGCTGTGTGGATCAGGTGTGCAGCAGTAATGGGCAGAGCTGCTTTGGGGAGGGCAGGAGGATGATTGCTTCCTTCAGCCCCCATGGGACTCTGAACAAAAGGGGGAGATTTTCAACATTTCCCAGTGGGTTCAGGGCATAGTGTAACACCTGGGAGGTGCTGAAATGCTTTAGGCATCAGAGCCATCCACCTGGAACCACAAACCACACAAAAACCAGGTTTGGGGTGGTGTCAAACAGGGGGAAAAGGAGATGTGGGATGGAACCACATGGGTGGGAAAATTCTTGTCTAGTAAATCCTCAGTAATGGGAATGTGGAAGGGGCATGGGGCTGAGCTCTCTCCAGAGCCACAGCTGGGCAGGGCATTAATTTCTTGATCCTCACAGATGACAGATGGTGAATCTGGGATCCCCATGGTGTCTCAGTGTGTGCAGCACCTGGGGAGCTGCAGGCTCTCAGCCTGTGCCTTTTTCCTCCCAGGCAGCAGGTCCAGCTCCCAGGCAGGCACAGCCATCAATGGTGAATGATTCCCTCCTCACACACTCAGGGACCCTCAGCATCAGGGCCAAGGCTGCCCAGCTGCCACCACCAGGACATGAGGAGGTTCATCAACTGGGATCTCACTGGACTATAATGGCATATCCTGCTCACTGCTTCCTCTCCCCATCACACCTTCTCTGGTCTCTTCTCTTTTTCTAAGAGCCCATGTCAGCCATTTGGGCAGATTTGCATGAGCTGGTTGGTTCCACATTCATCTAAAGGGTCAAGATGGGAGCTGGGGGTGGAGTTCAGTGTCTGGGATGGTCCCTGCACAGGACACCAAGAATCATGAACTCTACATTTCTCTAACAGACAGCAACCCCTCGACTAAGACAATATTCCCTGTCAGAGGCAAGTGATAACTTGTGAACCCTTTCCACTCTTCTTTCCTCCTGGATATGTTTTGTCCACATTGTGACCCACCCTTCTTCCACGGTCAACCATTTTCCTCTGGATCTGAATCCTGCGTTGTGTCCTCACCTTGCTCCTCATGTCGTCCGCCCCCATCAGCACCCTCGTCCTGGAAAGATGGGGCCACTGAGCACTGGGAGAGCCCAGCCTGGAGACATCCCCATGCCCATCAGTTCCCTCGGATGCTCTCCCTGCCCTGTACTCCCTGCTGTCCCCGTGTCTCTGCCCCCTAGCCTGAGTGGGACCAACCCCACCCCCAGCTCCCCTTTGGGCTCAGCCCGCTTGGGGCAGTGCTCAAGGGCTGTGCTGCCATTGCCCTGCTCTGCTTTGCTCAGCCCCTGCTCTCTGCTCACACACAGCCCTGGGGAACTTCACAGAATCACACCCAGTAGTCCAAGTTGGAAGGGACCCACCAGGAACATCGAGTCCAACTCCTGAGCCTTCTCTGGACCATCCCCCAGAGTCACACCACGTGCCCGGGAGTATCGTCCAAATGCTTCTTGTACTTGCACCAAGCCAGCGGTGCTGAACCCCCACACAGGCACCTCCTGCTCCCAGACAGCAGCATCTCCAGTCTTTGGGTAAGGGAGGGGGAATGCAGCCATCTCCTAAGTTATCCCAAATAGGGCATTCCCGTTGAACCTTCATGTCTGCCTCACCCCTCTGGGAGGATCTGTGGGCATGTGCTGGGAATTCCTGGAGGCACTACCATTGCTGGAGGAGCTGCATTTCTGCTGTTCCCCCCACTGTCCCGGTTTTAGTTCTTCTGAAGGAAACATTTGCTTGGAGAGGCCTCAAAACACCCCCAGGTCCTTCTCCATGCAATACCCCCACTCCCAGTTTTGTGAAATCATCTGGTGCAGGCAGGGAAGGTGTCCACACAAGTTCTCTGAGAGGGGCAAGGGAAAATGGGAAGAACCTGGAAGATCTCTGGGCTGTAAACAAAGTATGAATTTGCACCTCTCCCAATTTAAAGAAACACAAGTGTTTGGCTAAGGAGGATGAACTAGGAGGAAGACCAAACTCCTCCCTCTAAGCAATTTTAAATCCGAAATTAAGAGACTCCAAGTATGGAGTGTAATAAACTATATTTTAAAGGGGATTCTTTTTTGTTAAGCTTAGTAAAACTTCAGGACATTGATATGTGATTTCCGTGTGTATTTCCCACATATCTGTTAACTGCTTCTAACAAGCTGCTGTTTGTTCCTGAGGCTGATAAGGAAGGGGGGAGGGAAGTCTGGCACTGTAATTAACTGCACCAGCTGGGGACACTGAGAAACTTCCTCTAAACAAGAAGTCAAAGTGATTTATATAGACGATAAGACTGGAAGGGGAGGAAAAATACCTATTAAAGGCGCATGCTCCAAGCCGGGTTCATCTTGCGGACATCGAGGAAGACTAAAAATCTTCATCACAGAGACCCCGGCCCACAAAGAAAACCCCAGACCACGGACGCCGGTAACACAGCCCAGGAACATGCATGGGGAAAACTTTGCAACTGAGCATGTGCAAAAAGCACATGCCCCGGGCTATGTATGGATAAAAACCTATGTACTGAGCATGTCTGGACGGTGAACCGGAGGGTTCAAAAGGGGAAGTTTGAGAGCTTGAGGGGGGGCGGCGGCGGCGAGCTGTGAGAGAACTTTCTTTTGTTCTAAACAGCACCCCCCCTCCCGGCGCGCCGATTGTTTATCTACCGCTTACTAATAAATTTGCTTGCTATTGTAAATTGGCTTCTTCAATTCCTTTAAGGCATTGCTGGTAACCTATAACATGGAGAGGAAGTATGGAGAAGGGAAAACAACCCAGCCCTTTAATAAAATATATTTGTGTGTTGGCAGAACAACGAAAGAGCACAAAAACAACCAAATAATCCTGTACCAAAAATCCCCCTCAAAAAAGGGAACAGTCCGGTATTCCTCGCTTTTTGGTGCAATTCCAATCCCGGTCAGCAGGGGCCGCTGTTGGATCACCAGAGGGGCAGAGCCTGCAGGGGCTCCTTGACAAGGGCGATTTTCGCTCCACGCAGCGAGAAGGGGAAGAGAAAGGGGATGTTTCTACCTCATCCAACCCTAACCCTAACCCTAACCCTAACCCTAACCCTAAACCTAACCCTAACCCTAACCTTATCCCTTACTCTAACCATAAAGTTACCTAAACCCTAACCTTAACCCTAAACCCCAACCCTAACCCTAAACTCTAACCCTAACCCTAACCCTAACCCTGACCCTGACCCTAACCCTAACTCTATTCCCTACTCTAACTCAAATGTTACCTAAAACCTAACCCTAATCTAATTCTTACCCCTAACCCTAACATTAAGCCCTAACCCCTAAACCAAACCCTAAAAACTAAGCCTAAATGTAAGCTTAAACCTAGTGCTAAACCCTAACCCCCTAACCCAAACCCTAAACCTTAACCCCAAAAAAACTCTAAACCCTAAACCCAAACCCTAAACACAAACCCTAAACCCTAAACCTAACCCTAAAATCTAAGCCTATGCCTAACCCTAACCCTAATCCTAAACCCTTACCCTAAGCCAAACCCTAAACCCTAACCCTAACCCTAATTAAAAGGACATTGGTGACATCACTGGGGACGAGTGTCATCACAGGGGATTGGTAAAAACAAAAAGATATCTGTGATGTCACAGGGACATTGGTGACATCACACGGGACATCAGTGACATCACATAAAACATCAGTGACATCACAAGTACATGGCTGACATCAAAGAGACATCATTGACCTCACTGGGGATATTGCTGACATCACAGGGGACAGTGGTGACATCACAGGGCCATGGGTGACATAATTGAGTAGCAGTGACATCACAATGGACTGGTGACAGCAAAGGGACAGGTGTGGAATCACAGGGACATCGGTGACATCACAGGGGTCTGGTGACATCACAAGGATATCGGTGACAATACGGGAACAAGGTGCCACTGCTGGCATGTCACAGGGACATCAGTGATATGAAAGGAGTCTGGTGACACCGCAGGGACATGAGTGACATCACTGAGGACCAGTGACATCACAGATAACTGGTGAAAACAAAGGGACAGTGGTGATGTCACAGTGATATCGGTGACATCAATGGGGACATTGGTAACTTCACAAGGACAAGGGTGACATTACAGAGACAGTAGTGACATCATCGGGGAGACAGGGGACAGTGGTGACATCACACAGACATTGGTGATATCAGTGGGGACCAGTGACATCCTAGGGGACTGGTGACAAGAAAGGGACAACTGTGATGTCACAGGGACATCAGTGAAATCAAAGGGGTCTGGTGACATCACAGGGTCAGTAGTGACATCACAAGGACATGGTGCCATCACTGGGGACAGTGGTGATATCACAGAGAATGAAGTGACATCATCCGGGGCCAGTGACGTCACAAGGGACTGCTGACAACAAAGGGACAGCCGTGATGTCACAGGGACACTGGTGACATCACAGGGGACTTTAGTGACTTCAAAAAACAGGGGTGACATCACAGGAAAGTAAGTTACATCATTGGGGATCAGTGTCATCACAGGGGAGTGTTGAGAGCACAGGGACAGCCATGATGGCACAAAGCCATCTGTGACATCACAGGGGTCTGGTAACATCACAGGGACATTGGTGACATCATAGGGACATGGTGGCACTGCTGGGAACAGTGGTGACATCGTACAGAAAGAAGTGACATCATTGGGGACCAGTGACATCACATGGGACTCCTGTCCACAAAGGGACAGCCATGATGTCACAGGGACATCTGTGATATTACAAGGGACATCAGTGACATCACAAGGCTAGGTGTGACATCACATAGACACCAATGACATTATCAGTGACACTGGTGGCATCACAGGGGATAGTGGTGACATCACCGGGACATCGGTGACATCACTGGGGAACAGTGGCATCACAGAGGGCTGTTGTCTACAAAGGGACAACTGTGATGTCACAGGGACATCACTACCACTGGTGACATGATGGGGATGTGGTGTCACTGCTTAGCACAGTGGTGACATCACAGAGACAGCAGGACATCATTAGGGACATTGTTGACATCACAGGGGACAGTGATGACACCACAGAGACACCAGTGAGATTAATGGGGACATCTTTGATATCACAGGGGACATCAGTGGCTTCACAAGGCCAGGGGTGACATCACAGAGACATTAGTGACATCATCGGGGCATTGGTGACATCACAGGGGGCAGTGGTGACATCACTGAGACAGCAGGGACATCACTGGGGACCAGGGACATCAGAGTGATGATAAAGGGACAGCAGTGATGTCACAGGGACATCGGTAACATCAAAGGGGTCTGGTGACATAACAGGGAAATGGTGGCACTGCTGGGGACAGTGGTGAAATCACAGTGACAGCAGTGACATTACTGGGGACCAGTGACCAGGAGAATGTTGATAACAAAGGGAGCGCTGTGATGTCACAGGGACATCAGCAAATTCACAAGGAGAGGGTTGACATCACAGAGACACCAGTGACATCATCAGGGACAGAGATGACATCACAGGGACAAAAGAGAAATCATTGGGGACCAGTGACATCATAGAGGACTGGTGACAAAAAAGGAAAGCTTTCTTTCCCAAAAAGCATTCTTTCCCAAAGCCGAGATGTGGAAAGAACAAGTGCCCTTGTCCCTGGCTGTGCTACTGTGCTGGGAGTCTCTTCCCTCCAGCTCTGCACACAGGCACTGCCCCTGCAGCTCCAGAGAAGGGCTGAAGAAGTATCTTCAACACAGAAATCAGAGTAGGAGTATCAGGGATTGTTGATATTTTTTGGTCTGTGTTTGGCCCAGCCACCTGCAAAAGTTTTGTTCTTTGCCTTCCAAGTTCACTGATAAACGGGAGCTTCGTCCTTGGAGAGAGATTGTCTTGTGTAAACTGTTTTAATTGGTGTTCTGTAATTGGCTGGTTGTCTGTAGAGGACATTTGAAGGAGAAACTGAAGAGGAGAAAATGGAGTAAAGCCCCCAGACCCAAATACATCAGACCCCCTGAGTGAAACAGCGCAAGTGCGAGGGGAATCCCCACGTTCTCCCGCATGGCTGAAGGGGGGCACTCACAGAACGGGGGAGGGACCAAGGGCCTCTGGCTGGGCGGTGCTGCCACACCAGCCCAGGGAGACGTCACCGGCTCAGTGGATAAAAATGCAGGTGGCTCGTGCTTGGGGCTCTCAAGCTTCACAGGAAGGACAACGTTGCTTTCTGCGGGGACGCCGCTATCTTTGTGAGCCTGATGACCCTCTGAGTATGGAGCCTCCTCTATGGGGAATTCTGGTTATCCTGGGGTGGGTAAGACAACCTCGTAAAATACACCTGTGTGATTGGGGGTTTCACTGAGGGCTCAGTTCACTCCTCTCCTTTCTTATCTTTCGGGTTCCTGTTTACTCGGCCACTTTCTGTAATAAATATTGGGTTTATTGTTGAGCTCTCAGCAGTGTCTTGGTTTTCAATCTCGGCATCCTTTCAAACTCACCCTGTTACAGGGACTCAGACTGACAATTCCAGCGAATGTATTCTGACTCCAATCAAATGCATTTCTACCCAGGAAGGAAAGCATTTACCCTCCATCTCTCCTGTGCAACTGGTGAGCCACTCTTGGCACTCCATGCACACACAGAGCTTCCTGTGCTGGCACCTTTTCTCTGGGAGGAATCTTCATTCTTATTCCATTTGGGGGATCAGACTTGTGGAGTGCTGTAGCTGAAAAAAGACACACTATGGACAAACCATACTAATTGGCCTCAGTTAAACCTGCCCCTGACATAGCCAGAAGCCTCTTTGCAGGCAGTGGAAAAATACAGGAGCAGTGATAACAGACTACAGGAATGTAAACAAAGAGAAACCTGTGACAAAAACAAGGAGGAGTTTTAGGAGAAAAACATCTGTGTGCACCCAATAGGAAGTGTGCCAGTAATGCACGCTCGGTTCGTGGGTTACAGCAAATAACCAATAGTTTGAAAGTGATCACGCCCCGGGGGGCAGTGAAAGTATATAAGAGGTTGGGTTATGTAAATAAAGTGGAACATTTGCGTAAATCATCCTGATTTGTGTGCAGTTTCTTCTGGAAGCTCCTCCGCCAACATCCATGTTATATCATAGCTGTCACCGATAGCCCTGTGACATCAAAACTGTCCCTTTGTGGTCACCAGTCCCCTGTGACAACACTGGTCCCCAGCGATGTCACTGCTGTCCCTGTGATGTCACCAGTGTCACCGATGATGTCACTGGTGTCTCTGCGATGTCACCCTTGTCCTTGTGAAGTCACCGATGTCCCCAGTGATGTCACTGATGTCCCTGTGACATCACGGCTTTCCCTTTGTTGTCACCAGTCCCCAGTGATATTTCTGGTCCCCAATGACACCATTGCTGTCTCTGTGATGTCACCACTGTCCCCAATGGTAGCATGATGTCCCCGTGATGTCACTGATGTCCCTGTGATGTCCCTGATGTCCCTGTGACATCACGGTTTTCCATTTGTTGGTAAC